CTGATCTCCACGCGGTTTCCTCCAGTTCGAATTAGCTAATAAAGCGCGGTGCGGCAGACGATGACTGGGAATGCGCAATATGTGCCCTAACCAGCGAAGTCTATTAATCTGAACTCGGTGTGCCAGCATTAGTAACCCATCAGACGTGGGCTAAACTGCGTAAACACCGATAATCGAAAACCTTCAGTCGACGGATATCTTCTACTCGCAAATTCGGGGTCTCAAAACTATGAAGCAGAACTGAACGAACGCTAGTACAATATACATTACCTTTCAACTTCAGTGAAACGTCTCGTCTACGCCAAAGTTGTTTCAGTCCTGTGAATGCTGCTCGAGCTTTTGAAATGCGGGCGGTTATCTCCTACGCTGCGCTATCGTCCATGGTCATGCAACTACCTAATTAGGTGGGGCAATCTATCATGACTCATTCTTTGTAGTTTCGTTTTAGAGCGGGAAGATATTGCGGGAGTGTATAATTACACATCATCTAATCAAAACTCCAATAAATGCGAATATACGGTTTTCAGGTGGCCAGATTTTTTCAAATTAAACACGGGAAGAATAAATCCTTTGGAAAGTTCATCGAAAATGGACTAGCAACTTCCTTTTTAAACCTGTGTGTTGAAAAAGAAAGCATACACAAATCACTGACAAATCATTCATGCGATAGGCATTTATTCGTTAAGCAGCTGTTGTAAAAATAGGAATCGGATGCACCAGACAGATCTGAATAGATTGCGTTTGCGAAACGAGTGGCAAAAACGGCTCAAAAGACGTCCTCAAATGGAGGCAAAGATCGCCGCTCATATGTCCATCTGTTCACTTTATTCAACACGGCTAAACGAGACCTGTTTGTGTCAGTTAAGCCACTTACATATAGACCGGTTTATTCTATACCAGTGAGGTTGGCCTGATGTCACTGAGTAAGTGATCTTAAATAGTCGGTTATCGCATTCATTGCAGTTACGCGCTATTAGATAAATCTCTTTACCAGTTTTTTTTCACACCAAAACCGGTTGCGGGTTACGATTAGCAAAAAAAGTTCAGCTTATGATCTACATAATTTGTCTATTGGCATTGCGTGTCGAAAATACAGAAATGCGACTAAAACGGCACACAAGAATAAAAATCTTACAAATTGACCCTCACTTCCTCATCCTTTTGTGAATATATACGAACAGAAACACCGTGCAGGACGCGGCTGCAAGCAATCGAAAAATTTCCCGGGAAAAACCGAACATTATTGGTGGTTTCAGAATTCAAAATGACGAACTTCTGGTCAGGGTGGTAGTTGCATTATGCATTTGGCTACCAGCGTTTCAGCGAATGTCATCATAATCTATGACATCGAGATTACATATACGCAGTCGTTTATTGGATAACTTATTTACAAAATAATATTTGAGGTCACAAGCTGTTGTGCTCAATTGCATTGAGTGAAATGCAGCTTCTATCATACGTACCTTTTCCACTAATCGATACACAAAGTACACAATAAAATAATATACAAAAAAGTTCACCCTAAAACAATTGTCTCGGATTCTGTCGATAGAAAATCCTTGTAGTGCATATCGCGTCTTGAAAGGATTCCTGTGAACTTCATCAGGCTTTTAAAGTCCTGCCACTCAGGGACCCAGACACGCGTCCGTATCGATGGAGAAGAATCAACTTAGTTTATACTAACCCCTGGAGTCAGGTCAGATCGTCCCATATCGTCGGTTTAGATTGAATACTATGAAAAGCACTCGTCAACCACCCTGGAGTGCAGCTTACATCACGTACATTGTTGTCAGTCGCATTATTCAGCTTGCCAAAGCGACTGGACTAAAGATCAACACATCGAAAACCAAGACATTTTCGATCACAACTTTTGCCATGACACAAGCCCTCACGGCTACCGGAGAGCTTGACGGATCAACTCAAATTTGTGAATATATGCATTTAACAATCAGACCAAGGATGAAATCTAACTTCGTGTGAATGGGGCTAGAAGAACCTTCTTACAGATCTTCAGACTGTTGTGAAACTGATGCGAAATAAACTTTAACACTAACCTTCGGGGTTGTTAGACTTCCATCCGCCCCATTCTCACTTAAGTTTGTAAAACATGGCCGCTAAAAGTGTAAGATACAAGGAAGCTAGAGGCCTTCGAGCATTGGTGCTTGTGACGCATCTAGAAGGTAGATTGGAGAGATTGGTTTTCCAATGATGAGGTTCGACGGCCCTGCTCGAACATGGATAAACTTTTGAAAATGCTACAAATCTGGCACCTTTAGTGGTTTGCCAAATGCCTCGCAGGTCCAACACTCAATTCACAAGGTAGGCTGTAGCTCTTACATCGTGCCGTTGATGGTTTGGCCGATTTGGTAGTCAACTGAAGACCTGGAGAAGTACTATCAAGGTGGATTTAGAATTACTGGGCTTCCACTCGGTATACGGAATTCTTAAATGGGACCAGAATTGTGTGTCAATACGACAACCTGGTCGTCGATCGTCACACATGAGCTGTCATCATTAGTGACATCCGAGAAGTCAACTTATCCAACTAGTAATTCTGGCATTTTGTACACTTCAGCTGAAGGAATATTTATTAGAAACGAAGCGTGGGCGCAATCGTCTCCTCTGTGCAGCCTCTATGCATACTGAATTTGCACATTGAACTTCTCACATTCCGCGTGTCTTGTTTTGACAGTTGTCAACAATTTCTTTGGGGTAATTCACTCACCTTCTAACACTTGACTGTTTGCACCGATAACCAACTGATCAAGCGGTATGATCCATTTGGCTTCCAATCGTGTTGTTTGGGGCTCTTCACTCAGGGGCATATCGTGAGCGTTTTGTGGCACGTTGGATCGTAACAGCATGGAAACTCGGTCAGTGGTGCGCTGTTTGTTAGCTCCTTCGCCAAAGTAGGTGCGATGTCTGTGAAAAAGTGGGAATTACGTTTTGAAAAACCAAAGGAACAAAAATCACACTACTAAAGAATGCAAGATGGTCAGATAGGAAAAGTAGTTCAGAGTAAAAAGGGGCATTAAAAGAAGAACTAAGACTTCAGCTATCTGTGAGAAACTGAATGGTCCGCGCAATTCTAAGCATGCCAAGTTTTTTGCGCGCTTAGGTTGGGGTTAGAGCTGGCCGGTTGTTTACAGGTGTGTGGCCTAACCAAAATTGTTTATGCCGGTGTATGGGGTTAATCAATCACTTCAACGAAGAAAATACGCTTACCCCAGTGCGGAGATCATTCTGCAGGAAATACCCGAGAAAAGATTTACCAGAAATACCAAAACACATCGGATCAAATAAACAAATTTGACTCTAGCACCAGCATAATCGGAATAGTCCATTCACTTTCGTATTCATCCGTCAGCCGGTTATGATGATGCTTCCGAATGAACCTTATTGTTTACACCAAAACAGAGAGAACAAACCGGCAGACACATACAAAAGGCTCGAACCTAACTTTTGTCATGGAACATTTTTCAACAGTTTGACCATTTTGTGTTATCTTTAATTGCTTATTGACTAGTTTTATGATATTCATTCGAAGGTATATAAGTCCTGTGAAACGGTGAATTTTCGAAACTTTTGTTCTAAATTATCGGTCTCGTTTTCGACGTCTTTTGTGTGGTTTTGAAAATTTCATCGCCATCTGATTCCAAATAAAAGTACATGTACTAGCAGACGTGCAATGCATTTGCAAGAATGTGATGATGACAAGTATGTCTAAGTTTTCCTGTGCATAAGGTGAAAGAAACCTCACAAAATTGGAACATTTGATGAAGGTCAAAGTTATCGTTGGATACGTTGTTGGAACTAATTCATTATTTTAGATTGGAAGAAACGGTGGCAGACACGTCTTGCCTTTACGGTGGGTTTGACGAACATGACTGCAGTCCAGTCCAGACCAGTGGCATACATTTTGTCGGGACGTATCTTCGTCCATACTGTGTTCTATAACCATACAACTTGAGATCAACGAAACACAGCACGTACGGAAAAGGAAGGCCCAGGAATGGGTGGGTTTTTCGAATGCACGACCGAGCTCTGAAGAAAGGTTACTTGTGGAAAACAGGTCAGCTAATTCCCTGATATCAATCATCCAGAAGTGGATCTCTCCAGGAACCACTATTCACACAGATCAAGGGTCTTCACATGGGGCGTTGAGCTCGATGAGGTTTGTGCATCTCACAGTGAATCATGTTCGCAGATTTATTATTGTTATCACCGGAGATCGCACGAATAAATTTAAGGCATTCTAGAGTCGGATAAAGTGACGAGTGAAAAATTCGACTACCACAATCTACACTGCATTGCAAAACTCCAGTGAGTTAAAGTGGAGATATGATTTGGGAACATTTGGTAGAGGTTCAAAACCGAATGTGGTATTAGTTTTCCGTTCCAAACTTTCCTACTGACTGCGATGTTTTAGTGAGTCACAGGAAACAAATCCTATTCTTGTTTCATCAATACAGACAGGCGACAAAAGTCCGAACATGTTAGCATTTAGTTTAATCGTCTCTGTCACTGACTTAAACCAAACACGCCCACATACAGGGCATGAGATTTATCAATAATAGTGAACGAACGTGCACAAGCATAAACAATTACTACGGTTAGAAGTAGAAGGTCAACTCCAAGGTGTGTGGATTCCATTTACTTGTGATTTGTTATTCTTGTATTATCATTATTATTATTATTATTATTATTATTATTATGCATTTCTTATGCAATCGGCACATTTTTTATTTACTAAAACAATTATGTAAAACATCCTTTTCCCTTTATCCATTTCATCAAAATCAGAAGACATATGTGGGCAGAATTGATATCGGCCATCAATTTCGCGTGCTCTCTTTCAGCTGTAAACGCACATTTATATGATCATGTGAAACGAAGATGCATAAGCGTTGAAATGAGTCATTTGAACAAAGTGTTCGACAAGTGAGTCGAGTGATTTGTGTTTGGTTAGGGGTTGAGGTCAAGTAAGATGAGAAAATTTGATATGGGGTGAACTGGATCAAACGATTTGGTGAATGTGATGAACTAAGGAGGGGGAGGGAAGGTCATGTCACGTTATGCTATGGTAGGGTGGTATCAAGTGTGATATCATCACTACCATGGCAAAAACAATTGCGTCACAAATGTTTTTTGAACACATAATTGCAGTTTCAATCTATGAATAATTATCGCTTCTAAGAATCGTAAATTCCGTGAACTTCGAGGCCTCGCAATGACGCGAAACGCTTTGGGTGCGTCTACGTGGTGACCGGAGTCTAACAAATGACGTTCAGTCGCACTAGATGGTAATTTCCCTCCGCGAAGACCAAGCTGTTTCGGAATATGTTCACACATTCTGGTTGAGAAGTGACGTTCNTCTGTGCTTCCGATATACCGCTGACCGCAAGTACATCGAAATGAATAGATACAGTTGGAGGTAGCACTAATGTCCTTTCGATCCAGATTAGTGCGTATGAGACAACGAAGCGTCCCGTAGACAATCATTAATCTTACGGCATTGTACGTCCTTTCGACGGCGTGTGTTAAACGTCGAGATATCCTTGTTGTCACATCATCTCCCTTGAAAGGCAGTTCCATATGGACATCTTTCTTCTTAGCCGATAGGGAAATAGGCTTGGTGTTGATCGGCTTGCTGTACTTGTGGATGAATGCAATGGGATAACCATTGTCTATCAAGGTATTGGTCAGTCGGTCCAGTTCATCTGGCAGGACGTGCGGACTGCCAGATGAACTGGACCGACTGACCAATACCTTGA